TGTAATATTTTTTTATTTGAATAGTTATTGGGTTATAATAATGGTTATACTGAATATTAAATAGTTGACATATATATAATATTTTTTGCTAAGTGATCATATAAATATCTTTTACCAAAACTCTGAAATTAGTATTCAATTTACAAATATTCAATTAGTGAATGACTTATCTATATGAACAGACATCTACTGCCTATTATGATAGAGATGAGTTTAAGATAACCTACTTCAAAAGCTTAAGGACCACAGTAACCTACTTAGAAACCTCAACTGATACAGTCTCAAACACACTATAAAGCTGGAAATCCTCAGATGTAATTAGAACCATAATTTCAGCCAAAAGCTGCACTATGTAATATAGTAGCCATTAGCCACATGGGACTATTTATGTTTAAATTAATTAAAATTAAATAAAATTAAAATTCAGTTCCTCAGTTTTACTAGCCACATTTCAAATGCTCAAAGCCACATGTGACTGGTGGCTACTGTATTGGACAGTACAGCTACAGAACATTCCTACTGGACAACACTGGACTAAAGAATCACTGCCATATTTTGTTCTGGTTATTAAACACTTTCATGGATTCCTTTGGCATCTCTGCCAAAATTACCACCATAAAAACCTCTCCGGTCACCACTTCAGAATTTTGGTGGTAAGGCACAGAATTCTATGAAGGATTAAATCAGCTGCCACTGAAGTGGAATATCCAGCAAAGATACGCAGTGAGGATCTCAAAGTTCCAAAACGTTCTAATAGCTTCTACAGCTCACACTGAGCCCCAAAATGGCCAGAAAAAGAGAACACTCAATTTCAGCTACTGACTCATTTCATGACCATGTTTAATACACTTGTTTCTATGAAGAAAAACATGAAATCCAATTAACTGACTAATCAAAGACTTTTTAGAAAATAATTCTTTCACTGTTGGAGACTGCTCATATAAATTTTAATTCCTATCTTACTATTTTTTGTTTCAGCTTTTATATATCTAAAATTAAACAATATCTTAAATAATTTTTATACAGAAATTTAAAAAATCGATGGAAATGTAGGTCTAAATTTTTAATTGCTTGAAAAATTTACTTTTATCCATTGAGAGGTCTCACCCAATACAATATCACTGTGTTAAATAAAGGTAATACATTTGATCTGGTACATAAGCACACAGTATGGCACAGGTGTGCTATGTACTAGATATAGTTCTATTTACTTTCTGATAAAGATTAAGCAATTTCACAAACCACAACTGTAGAGTCCGCACATAAAAAAAGAAGAGCATTAGGCTAGAAGCCAGAAGAACCAAGTCATAGCCCCAGCACTGCTACAACATTCAATCAAATCACGTTACAATTCTGGGTCTCAGCTCTTAGGTCAACTAATAATCTCTACCGCTTAATTTAGCTCTATACTGTATACTTTAAACATTTATTAATAATAAACAGTAAAACATGGTGAAGAATGAATGCCACATTCAAATTCTGATTCAACCATTTATTATCTGGATGACCTTGGGAAAGTTAATTTCTGTGCCTTGCTTTACTATATGTAACTTATTTCATAAAGTTATAGTGAAGATTAAATTAGATAACAAACATAAAGCACAGAGCTCAGTGCCTGAGACACAGAAATCATCCAATAAATCTCAACAATTTTTAACTCTGTGCTTAATACCATTTTCAAGAACTCTAAGAACAGTTCACAATTTTGTTACTATACTAGAATTTACAAGCTATCAGCTGAGCATTTAGAAATTATTTTGTTTTTTAAGATCTTCATTACAGTAGTATTTCACATGATGAAATGTTAGCTTTGTAAGTATACCTTCTAGAATGTAGCTGTCAAATCTATCCTACCATATTTTCATCTTTTTAAGCATTTATAAACTAGTGAAAACACATAAAAAATTTTAAACCTTCATATAAACACACATACCTGCAATTTATCAATACTGTTAAATTATATACTACTAGTCTCATAGAGTAAAACAAGTAATTCAAAAATACCAACATACAAAAATTAGCATTTGGATAAAGTGCCTTATACCATTTCCATAAAAAAAAAACATTCATTTTACATGCATCACTGTATTTTAATTTCTAAAAAAAATCCTTATTTTTTTTAATTTTTTTTTTTAAGTTTTTATTTATTTGACAGAGAGAGAACACAAGTAGGCAGAGTGGCAAGCAGAGGGAGAGGGAGCAGGAGGCTCTCCGCTGAGCAGGGAGCCCGACACGGGGCTCGATCCCAGGACCCTGGGATCACGACCTGAGCCGAACGAAGGCAGCTACTTAACCGACTGAGCCACCTAGGTGGCCCTAAAAAAATCCTTTTTAAAACTGAGTAAGCCGGGGCGCCTGGGTGGCTCAGTCGTTGGGCGTCTGCCTTTGGCTCAGGTCATAATCCCAGGGTCCTGGGATCGAG